GATATTGCTGTGTGATCATTCATTGCTGTGTGACCATTCACCAGCAGCAGACAAATCATTAAACCCCAGGCTGCGTGCTGCTGAGCGGTGCAGGCATTTCTGTCTGTCACTCTGACTTTCCCTCGATTAAAGGTTGTGTTTACGTTGCAAAGTTGTCATAGCCTCGTGCTGGCTTTAGATTTGTCATTGGAAAGAAGGCTTAATCTGCTAGATTTAGTATTTTGTGTGGAGATAGGCAGGTTACAGGCAGAGAGAGCTGAATACAGTCATTCCTGATCCAGTTCCTTTCTTCTCAGTGTGCGTTTTGTTTTGACCTGCACACACGAATCTTTTCCAGACCTTCCTATTTTGTTTGACTTGTCTTGGTGGAGGAGTTATTTTTCCTACATTCAGTGGAAGGATTCAAATGTGCTAAATAACATTACACAGGCGCTCTTGCGTGTCAATGATAACCACACTTGAGCATGTAAACCCATCCTTAAAGTCCCTTTTTATATCTTTTAATTGATAATAAATGTAAGATTCAGTCTGGAGCTATGTGTCTGAAAGAGGGCTTTGTTTTCACTGTGAACTTTGAGCAAAAGGGGCACTTGTTTTGGATGGCAGGGGATATTTACTTGGATGCCTTGATTAGGTTTCAGACCAAGCTCTGGCTGTGTCAGATTTCTCTCTTGTAAAAAGTTGGATCACTGAACTTGTTTTTCACTGGGTCCTTTCCAGTATTGCATATAGGGAGCTGGCGTTAAGCACACATACTGTTTCCAAATGTAACTATCCAGTCACCTCAAAGGAGACCCTGTTTTAAGAGATGACACATTTCTACAGGTTTATGGTGAGTGTCAGGTAATTGAATAAGCTCATAATGGATTTGGACCATTTATGAGCCTTCAGAGCCTTCTTCTTCTCCCCTGTGCTGGGTTTGGTCATCAGCCAGTTCCTCTGGTAGAAATGGCTAGAATACCTGCAATTGGTCCGGGCAGTAGCATATCACCGCCTGCTGTGAAGATCACTGTAAACGGTGCTACGTCATGAATGTCACACACACAATCCCCACCCATCCCCCTGCTCATTAGCATTCTAATCCTCCTGGCCGTCAGGTCAGCGAATGAGGCACCTAAAACATAAAGCCTGTCCCATCACGGTACCCCGACACAAGCTGGAATCGTCTCCAGAGTAGAAGGATCTGGCTTCACATCAGCAGCAGACAGTGGCATGTGTAGGCACTTTGTGCGTGCTTGTGTTACTGTCTAATACGTTGCTGCTGATGTCTCAGTAAAAGTGTCTCAAGATTGAATAGTGGTATGAAAGCATCTGATACAAATATAAACAGTGGATGTTAAGTTTAGTTTCCTGTTTTTCATGGTATGTATAAACAACGCTAAAGGTAAAGAAGCGTAGGCCATGAAAGGCTCAGTCACTTTGTTCAGCAGTAGTTATTGTATTAGCGTCCGCAACACAGCTGTTGTTTATTTGTTTGGAAACATAACGGTGAGGAAATCCATGAAGACTCCCAAGATGCCGCACCCACAGCTGTGAGTGTTATTGCAGAGAGTGCAGGAAGCTTACTGATGTGTTGCCGCAGCACTATTGACAGCTTACTTGATGTTTTGAAAAGGTTCCCAGCGTTGTGTTGCTGAGAACAGGGAGCTAGAGGGGAATGGAGTGGGGAGAGCTAGCCTACATACAGTACATTCTGTCACTGCCTGACCTGGCACAAGGTCTGTTCATAATGAAGCAGCTCAGTGGTTGCAAACTCAGTAGCATTTGTTTAGAGGTGATAGATGTTGCATGAGAGAAACTTATAACTTGCAGTCAGCAGATTCTAATAAGCTCTTTTTATCAGGTTATCACATTTTCTTTGTGTTTGCATATTGAGGCAAGTTCTAACACCTATGGTGATGCAAATGGTCTTGGCAGCTAACGTGTGTGTGTGTGTGTGAGAGAGTGTGTGTGGCGTGCGTGTGTGCACTCTTTACAGCACCCACAGTGCTGAGAGAGAGCAGCTGGACATGCAGTCCTCATTCATTTCTTATAGGAGAGGGGGGAAAAAAACGTCCCCACAACAATAGACACACTCTCGCAGACGCACATGCACACACAACCTGAACCTCAACCTCCTCCCCCCTTCTTCCCTTCCTTCACCCGCCACCCCAAATTCCCCCTCCCCCCTCCTCAGCAATTGTGTGCATTGACGCTTTCCAGAGGCGCGATCTCTGCACTGCCACTCACCACTGTCGAGCAGCGTTTTTACTGCCGTGACGGGGGGGCAGACCTGGCTGTTTTTGTTATCCACTCAGATGGAGACGGACTCTGCCACTGACAGGCGTTAAAGTGAAACAGCCCTTTAATGCATCCACTATCTCTCCATCCTTTAAGGGCTTTAAAGTGTTTGTCATGAAAGATAGACAGAGGCTGACCAAAGGCGGAACAGTGAGAGCATGACTAGGGAGTAGGGAGGGTGGAGGTGACACCCTGCTCGATGATCATATTCTTTTTTTTTGTTTTTCATCTGTCAGGCAAACTGTTGGCTTTCCCAGTAATAAGAGTGTGACTGAGCTGAGCTGGAGGAGCCTCTACTACAGCCTTCTTCTCTTTCAGTCTGTAGGATTATGGTAAGACTCGCGTCGCAGACAGCTTGTGTGGACGCCTGCGAGCGCGTTGACTGCTGGCATCTCACAGTGTCACCACCTTTTTCATTCTTCCCTGATGATATGTTTTTAAGCTGTGTGGTGGAGCGTCTCCAGTGCGGCACATGCTATTTTTTACTTAAATCTCATCTGGGAGGTAAATAATTCAGTGTTGTGGTGGATGGCAGGTTCTCACGATGCAGTGAGTAGGACTCTTTGTGTCTTATTTGAGGAAATATCCATACAGTTTGTGTAGATTAGATTTTTGAGGTAAGATCTAAAAAGAAAAGAATTTTTATTTGCATTGACATTTACAGCAAGCTGTGGAAAGAGATGGTTTTTCCCTGGCAGGCTGTTGGCAGGAGACCACGAATCTCACTTGAGAGGGAAGGAGTGGCATTGCCCTCCCTGCTTGGGCATTTTAGATTTTCCTTCACCCAAGTTGTTGTCTTTAACCAGACACTGAAACACACAGTGCAAGATGCTTGGCTTTATGGTTTGTGAGCACGTAGCTCAGGTAGACAAAAGCCAGCTAGCGTGTCTTTTGAGGTGCTGTTGCTTCACTTCAGAGTGCACCGCTCCTCTGGCTCTGAGCATGTTCCTATCTCTTCTCTGCACTGGTAGAAACCACAGTGTCTGTTGGCATTCACATGACCTTTTCAAAACCGACAGCCTCAACTTTCTGGCAGCACAGTTTGACTGCTGTTTTATTGTTCACTGCTTTCGCTATTGTGTTGACTGTTGAGCCAGCATCCAGACACTGTATCGTTGTATGTCTGAGTTTCATTTTGTGTAAGGAACTGCATGCTTCGCTGGAAAAACACTGCATACATAATCACCACGGTGAAGATGGGACATGTGGGTGGATGAATTCTGCAAAAAGCATGCAGTCGCACATTTCAACAGTTTACTGATGTAAGGATTTGCAGGTGATCTAACTGTGTTTCTCAAGAGAAACATGGTGACATTGTGGTGCAGCCTGTTTTTTTCTTTAATTCAACCAAGAACCAAAAGAAATTTAGCAGACACCCTTGTACTATTACACCCTGTTAATTCAAATTTGTTACTCAAATTCATTCAGGTTTCACTCCTAGTGCTTCATATTTTTGTCACAGTAAGTGCGACCTGCGAATGGTCTTTCCTGTTCTTAAAATATTTAATAGGGCTGGTGTAGTATGAAAGTAGGGAAAAGGAGACATGTGAGCCCACTGTGCCATGGTCCCCCACAGCCAGACTGCTGAGGTCTGAGGTTGGTTGTGTCTGGGTTTGGGCTTCAGTTGTAGCCACATCAGCTACAAAGCCTCAAACCATTACATCGTCTGTGGTTAATCAGCGTTGGATTATTGACCAATATTGACATGTCAGTGAGAGAGTGATTGTGTGCTTCAGGTCTTTTACATATTCTTGTCTCTGTGAATTAGTATCTTCCAAAGTTTCTCTGCTTATGGAACCAAAATGTCACTTTGGCAGTCCATAGACTGTACTGTAACACTGTGACAATACATAATGGGGGATAATCTATCGATCTAATGCGCTGCTGTCATTATCCGTTATAGGCAGATAAGCTGAAGAGCTAATGTCAGGTTTTGGAGATTGCTCATCAACCAGCAGGACACACATCTCATCTCTTCGATAAAAATTTTAAATCAAAATGTTGCCAGTGATGATGATTTATGTACTTTCCCAGATATGCATCACTGACAGAGCCATGTTTTATGTTTTATGGATTTCTCTAAACTGTGGCACTTGTTACATCCTCTAGGTAATTTTACAGTGTTGTATGATCTTTTTATTAGTGATAATTGGTGGATTATTCATGCTTTAACGCTGGATCCAAAGGTGTCATCGTTGGTCTTTAGTCACACAATGCATTTGTCTTCTTTGGTTGCATTCATGCCGTCTGCTTTCTACCCAGAGGATTGCTTGGTGCACTCTATTTATGCTAGCTAGCTGGGTGGTTGGTAACTATGGTAACAGTATCCCCCAGAAAGCTGAAGAGACCAGGCTGTGCTAGGGTAATTGTGAGCAAGTGAAGCATGTCTGCAAAGTTAGACGTTGTCGCAGGCTGGACGATGGCCTGTTTAGCAGGTTTATTTTGTCCTCACATGCAGTCGCTATCACAACAGAAGGGAATTTCTCAGACCTTAGTTTCTCACCAGAGAGCACTGAATCATCTAATTACATGACCTAGAGCAAAATATATCTTTGGGTTTTAGGCTGTTGCTCGATTAAACAAGCTGTTTGAATGCATCACCTTGTGCTGTGTTAGGCGTTTTTCACTATTTTCTGACAATACTGAAAATTGCTTTCATTCGCAGTCCTAAATTACCATTATTTCCCACGAGGTGTTAATATTATCTAATGGTTTACTCTGTGACATTTGCCCTGGGCCTCAACCCTCAGCCGTTTCCAGCTGTGTGAAGAAAAGTGAAGAGGCGTTTTAATGAATCAGTATTCGCTAGCTGACGCCATGACGGACAAGTAAGTGGTTTATCTTCTCAAGAGTGCGTTGGTGTGTGTTTGTGCAGAGAGCCTGCACTCTGGGCTTTAGGTTCAGCGAGAAGTAAGAAGATGAGGTCTCATGGAAGTGTTGTGCGAGTGTGTTTCAGTACAGTACAGGACAGGAGGAGAATCGGGGGGTTTGATAGCACACTGAGAAGTGTGTTGTGGGGGTGGTTGATATAAAGACAGTCTGTTTTGCCCCTGAAGATATGTGACATTTGTATCAGGGTTGATTTGCATTCTTGTTCACTGTGCTGGTATGTTGCTGTTGCCATCAGTCTGTCTTTATGTCCCTGACAAAACAGTCATTTGAAGGTTTTTCAGCCTTTGCCCTATCACCTCTTCACTCGCTCCTCTCTATTCTCCCTGTTTCTTTTTTGTGGTTCCTTCTTCATCTTTTCCTTTCCCCCTTTCATTTTGAACCTGTTCCCTATCGCTTTTCTCTTTTTTGTCTTTTTTGACAACTTGGTCTCTCTCTGGTGGTTGTTGGATTTGATCTGTAGAGAATGGAGAGTTTTGGTGTGCAGTAAGCAAAATAATCTGCTGTCAGCATTCGCAATAAGTAGAATAAGTGGTCCAGGCCAGTTGGCTGAAAGGGATAGGCTCAAGCCCAGTGAAGGCCAAACAAGGCAGGCCTATTATATGTTTGAGCTACAGAAAATGAAAGGGGGAGTTAAAAAAAAAGTTTGGCCAAAGAAATAGGTTGTTTTCAGTCGATCAATCGTAGTGAAAAATGATGGTCGTGCAGCAATTGGAGAGGAGGTTTATGTGCATAGAGCAAAGACTCTCAGCCAGTGTTGGAAGGTGAAATAAGTTTGTGTGTGTGCAGTCACCACTTATTACTAACACACCTGTTGAGAGACAGGGGGAGCTCTGGAGAGTCACTCTGGTCTGTCTGTGAAGCAGGCCTCAGGGTAGCTCCCCTGACTAACACCAGCACACTGTATAATGTTGGTCAGTAGAGCCAAATAATGCTAGATTTTCTTTTCCAAATTAGAAGGTCCAACCACTTTAAGATGCAGGGCAGTCTTTGCAGAGCCTGCCGTTCAGGCTTGAGACCAACATAAAAACAAGAAAGAAATGTTATTGGAAATAGTATTTGGAAAACAAGATGAAACAGTAGTTTTTAATAAGACCTTGTTGGACCAAATCAAAGTGGTGAGGTGAAGGTTGGGAGGTTCTAAGTAAGTGATGATGATGTTGACAAGCTGTCCCACTGGATGAAAGGTATCCGAGCAACCAGAAAGAGGCCGAAGGGGGGGAGGGTGGTAGTTTATTGTGTGCTTAGTGGCTAGTCCATGTTGTAGGATGATTGTTCATTGGGGGAGAATGATAAATGTTGCTCCAATAGGAAGTGACAGGGAAAGTTGGAGGACTTGCCCCCCAGCAGTGATGGCAAACAAAGCCTCCCTCAACAAGGGACTACTTAAGATTCATACAAAGGCAGAAGAAGATGGCTACTTGTTTTCTCTCTAACACACACAAATACCCCCTGTTTTTCTCTAGTTCACTCATGAGCAAACATTACACATAGCAGGATATCAGACATTCCTTCAAATATGTGCATGCCACTTGGTATTCCTAGAAACAAGCTGGCCGGCAGATACAGCTACGACAGCTGGAACATTTGCCATTCACAGGTGCACAGCATTCACTTTTGTTTGGCAGAAGAGCTTTTGCATTTGTGCTTTCTGTGCAGATGTTGCTGTGGATGCAGGAGCTGACTATCCATCTGCAAATGTGCTCTTGCATCCTCAAAAGTAAATGTGTTTCAATTGCAGGATTTTAAGTTCATGCCTCTATTGTACACGGATACTCTGGGATGAGAAAAGTTTCTAAAGCCAGATTTGCTCTGTAGTGCTTGTCGACTGGGATTCTTCTGCTGAAATTCAAGGCTGCATAATCCTCATCAGCACACTGCTTTGTGTGTGTACTTGTGTGCATGTTGGTGTGGATAAAGTACAGAGCCTGTGGACCTTCCATCCAGGGTTTGAATGAGCAGGAATTTCACCTAGTTGTTCTGGTTTTACTCTTTTTCACCAGGATTCACTGTATTGCATCATCTGTGAAAGCAGGGTGGAAATTCACTAAACCAAGTGTACAAAGCGAATGTAGTCTGTGGAAAATATCACTGGGGGGTGGGGTAATTTTGCCAAAAGCATATTGCTAAGTGTAGGCTAAAATTCTTATCCCTGAACTGCATTAGTTGGGGACAAAACATAGCAAGATGTAGAAGGTGTTGTGCCTTAAAAGCCCTAAAAGCCCTAAACCATGCCATTGTGTGTTTATCCAATAGATTTTTGTGGTCCATGAGGAGAATCCCTCTCTGACTCATTTCCCTTTGTCCTTCTTTGTCATCAGTCTTCTGCTTCTTCAACTACTGTATGAATTTGCATGCTCAAATATCTTCTCTTACCAAAGCCTGTGTTGTCTCTTCCTGCATCCCTCTGGTTTTCCTTCTGTCCCCCACCTGTGGTGGTGCACGCTGACAGCCCTGTCAGAGACTTGGGATGTTTATAGATGCATAGCGAGGCTGGCTGTACAGATGAGAATGTGTGTGTGTGTGTGTATGGGTGGGGGCTTTTACTGGAATGACCACACTGTCATAGAGAAGACTGGCCTTTACCAGTTGACTGTGTATCAGTCGACATCCTGTGTTTGTATGTGTCCTTACATGGCTATACATTGTGAGGACCTGTTTGAGTTTTATACGTTCCTCACTTTGACACACCTTCAAAAGGCTGTTAGAGGGTTAAACTTTGGTTTCAGGGTAAAGTTTAGGGAAATGCTCTGTTGATGAGTGTCTTCACAAAGATAGCTGTACAAATGTGTGTCTATATATGTGTGTATTCATGTCAGTCACAGGAGAACAAGGATCAAAAACCACCAACAGAAGCAAAAGCACTTGCACAAAAGTGCATTGTTGTTTATGTATTAAGATTATGTAAGGCGTCATTTTAAGGACTTAATACCTGAATTAAATGCACCAATGTTACATAAACCACTGGTATAAGATGGAGCTGTGTTCATTATTAGATACTGACTAGACCTCAAGCTGGGACCTTTTTATCCACTTGGGGGAAATCAGGTGTCACGGTGGCGTGATCTCAGTAGCCCAGCCTGTCAGTATGTTTATCGTAGGCTGAGTTTCTGAAGTAGGGCCATTTATACATTTGTTCTGGCTTGAAGAGTCTTCACAAAGCCAGCTTTGCCCGGTCTTCATCCAAGTCCACTCATCAATTAAAAAACCCTGACCTGTGACATCACCACTTCCTCTCCGTCGCCTCTCCAGACCGCTGTGTCACCAAGGGCGTGCCGCAGGGCACTGCTGGGCTTGCACCCTGGATCGACAGCCGCTCAGACATATGAGGGCGTGGTGTCAGTGGGATTCGTGGGTGCATAGTAAAAACTCTATCAGCTGTCACGGGGTTTTGTGGGAGCCCAGGGAAGCCAAGTCAAAAGTGCTTCCTAAGGATGTTGAGGGGGGATGTACCCTTTGCCCTCGGGCTCATCAATCTTACACAACTGTCATCTTCTTCCACTGCTCCATTGATGCTGTCAGAGGAGGGTGAGAGGCAGCGACTGGTTGCATCATGTATTTTGTTTTTGATTGCTTTCATTTGTTTTTGTGTTGTGTGTGACAATAAATGGGCAGGTCTGGCCTCCACAACTTGCACATTGCATACTGTGATGACCACTTTAATACATGTGAAATATAAGGAAAGACAGTTGCACACAGTTACTGTTCATAATGCTGTGGTGTCATCTCTGCTTAACATGATCTGATTACTCTTTTATACAGTAGACTGGGGTGTTGCATTACAATAGTGTAGCTTACCTCACCAAGCAAATGCTAATGAATCTGCATATTTGGGTTGATCTGGGTGACCTGAATTCAGCTGTCTGGAAGATTTGTCTCCTTTTTCAAGGGCAGTCTTTGTTGCATTGCCAGCAACATCCATTCAAACAGTTTTAGTCTATTAACTTTCGATTTTGCTACTTTTTCTGTCTTTGTTATTTGTTTAAAGATAGAATATATGTTTTTAGAATGACAGGGAGGCACTGATTCTCAGTTAAAAAAGTACTAGTGGAAACTTACCATGAGTCACTGTCAAGGCAAAGTACACATAGTTTTCAGTCAGAGTTGAACTGCAGTGAACTGTGGGAATAAGGCTTGTGTACTTGTCGTTATTCAGCCTTGACATAAAGGTTTTCATTTTGCTCAGGGAAGCAGTGTAAGGGAATGGACTGGAAAGTGTTGTGAATGGAGGCCCAACCGTTTGTCACAAAGTCAAGAAGAAGAGTTCTACTTTCCCTCATTTGACTTAAAAAAAAATCTTATTGTGCGCTAAAAAGAAAAGCAGAGGAATTTTCCAGCTGACTGTTCTTCTGTAATGCCAATTCCCTAAAGTATTTGTTCTCTCTCTTTTTTTGTTTTGTTTTGCCAACTGTTGAATTTGACACTCCATTCACGATTCCCTCAGAATAAATTGTAATAACTTTGCTGATGCCATGTTTTTTTCATGTGGCATTGTATCAGCAGGTCAAAATATGAATTTGTCCAGTACTTAACACTTGCAAAATGTCATTCGCATCAGCCTCAGCTCTACTTTGTGTTGAGCACAATTAGCAAATTTTAGCATGCTAAACTAAGTTAGTGAGAATGGTTGGCATAATACCTGCTAATCGTGGTCATTGCGAGTATGTTAATATGCCGGCATTAGTGTTTCACTGTGCACAGCCTCACAGGGCCAATAGTGTGACTGTAGACTCTTGTTTCCCAAACACGGCCTTTGATTGCTGCATATGTAGTCAGTACATGTTATAGAGGAATACCTAGGATTTGTAAGCAAGCATTCATGGGGCTAAAACATAGATTGCTATTGATGGCACCTAAAATGAAATATGTAATTTCAAAGCGAAGTATTAAAACAAACTCAAGGCACACTGCAAACTGATGATCCTATAAATCATACAGT